CATTATATTATATATATATATATAATATAATATATATATATATATATATATATTCATATGTCTTGGGTTTTCATGGGCATGTTCGATCATAGACACGCGACTACATACCAAGCTACGCATTCATAAACGCATAGCGTGCTGTCCTGAACTGTTGCCGTTTAGAAATCTGTAAACACACACGAGTGCTCACACAACGCCGAATGGAGGAGACGAATAAGAAGTATCACATATAGACTACCCACTCAATCCTAACACGTGCACGTATTAGAAAACGTCTACTACTGTACGTATGGTCAGACAATGTACCAGAGACACGCCCACCCATGTCTACGCATCTGTGTACATAAATCTATCTACACCCGCCGAACGGAGTCTACCTACATACACGAGGACATGAATGAGTACATACGTGAGAAACGCCATAATAAGGCGCGCTGAACTCGCGCCGTTTCGACGGCTCCCAGCACGCGCTAAGAGTCTCGCTCGTTGGAATGGCGGGTATAGGCCGCTCCCACATACACCACGCGCTCTCCCCGGGAGTCTTGCGCGCCGAAACCCGCGTGCGGATTTCTGCGTCGCCTGAACTGGCAGCATCGGAATCCGCGTCATCTGTGGTTGACTCGGAACTGCTGGACTCTGAGCGTATCATGCCGTCGCCCATCTCGCGTCGCATTTCGTGCCTATATGAAGTGTGGGAAGGGTAGATCTTACGATTATAACTACCTGAGTTATATCTACCTGTGTATGTATGCATCTTTGAGTACTATAAATGTATGTGAATTAAACTACTCAATTAGTTTGTACGTATACGAATCAGATAACTCAATTAGTATATACGTATGTTAATTAGATTACTTAATTAGTGTTAATTAATACATACGTATGTTAGCTAGAATACTCAGTTAATACATACATATAAATATATATATATTATATATATATTATATATATATATATATATATATAATATATATATATATATATATATATAGTATGTATATATATATATATGAATATGTATATGTAT